TTTGGCCATTTTCTTCAGACAGATTCAACTATGAGGATTTTATTGGAAAACAAAGTGCTCATCCATTCTGATCCACTTCCTTCTTTGTAGGGTCTCGGGTTCCAGCTCCCGTGTAGTCTGAGCTGCTCCATCTTAGTAAATGCAGAGATGAGGTCACAGGGATCATCTAGTGTGGCGAGGGACTGGGGGACGGGATGGGTTTCAGGATTCAGGGTGGGTAGGGAATGTGATGGGTGCTCTCGCTGCATCCATTGCTCTGTGTGTAAAATGGGAGGATGCAACTGAAACATGTGCTTTGAGAACCTGTAGAAGTCAATCGATGAGAAACAGCAGCAAGATCCAGCTGATGTGCATTTTCCATTTCCTACTCATTTTGATGGCTTTGTGCTTGCTATCAGCTAACCTTCCTGGGTGGTATTCAGGTGGATGCAAGAAGGCAGGTTGAATTGCTGCAAAGAGCTGAGTATCTCAGCTGTGCACGGAGCTGGGGACATCAGAGGTGTTTGGTGCTGGCAGGGAATATTGTGGATGACTCTTTGGAGACCCTTGTGCCTTCCCTTAGGAACATTTCTCTGTCCTTTCAGTTCTTAATGAGGTCTCCTCTGTTCATTCACCTGGGGAGGGAGAGAAAAGCTTTCAGTCCTGTGGCTTCTTTATCTGGAAAACTCAGGAAAAGCTTGCCTACTCAGCCAGAAGGCCACAAGTGCTTCTGCACAGAGACATCATGGTGCAGAAGGTTTGCCCAGAAGCATCCCTAGGTCCCAGCCTGCTTCGGCTGCTTTCACAGGCAGGACAAAGACGTCAGGCTTTGGGAAAGGCAGCCCCAAGCATTCACCCTTGGTGCAGTACCAGGGGAGAATTACAGCCCTGGCTTTCCTAGCAAGGCTGCAGCTTTGTACTTCTGGGCCTGGTATCTCCTTTGCAGGCTAACAGAGTGCCACTCCTCGTGTCTCTGGTGACTCCTGGATCTGAGTGGAGCCTCTCAAAGACACGGCGCTGGCAAGCCCAGCTCAGCATGCTGTGCTTTGCCCAGACGGCTGTGCTTTGTTGAGTGTTGCCAAGTATCATTTTTCTTTTACCTCTTTGTTCCTGGATTTAATAAATCCAGAACTATCCACCCTCCACTCGAGCCAGAATCCTCCCACCATCAAACATGCCCCATTTTATGCCTTCCCTATCTGACAAGGAAAATAATCTCCCCTACTTTTCTCCTTCATGCGTCTCTGTCTCAATCCTGAAGCCCTAATCCTGTTAGCATGCTCTGTTCCAGGGCTCTGTCTCCACGGGAGTAACATAATCCTGCAGTAAATCTAGTGGGTCCAGAGAGACACATACATATGGACGAAGGCAGGGCTGCTGCCATCCTTGTCCTTCTCCTCTGCCTCCCCCAGCCGCTTTCTTTAGCTCCCCAAGAAATTGCATAGTGGCCAAGTAGCACAATAAATAAAGCAAGAGAGAGGTTACCTCCTGCCCCCTCCCTCACTCGCTGCCTCTTCGACTTCAAGGCGCTTTTTGTCTCCCTGTCCTTCGCTCTCTTCACTCCAAACTCTGCCGTTGGCACAACGGAACTAATGTAGCTTCAGAAATCCCCCCATCACCCCGAGGCGGTTCCAATGTGTCAGAAATACGACTTGCAGGTGTTGGTGTGGAGCCTGCATGTGCGTGCACATGGAAAACTTGCCCAATCCTCCTCTAGCCTAGACATCATCTCCCACCGCTTGCTTTCTGCAGCAAATTAATTAAGCAGGTCAGCTCTCATTGATTATCAGTTTAATTTTACATGTAGACCTGCCGACTGGACTAAAACGGGAGTAAACATAAAGTATGTGGGGAGGGGATGGGCAGCTTTTTGATGCAGCAGTGAAAATGAGTTTCCTTGACTGCTTCTTGAAAGGTGCTTTTAATTTGTTAATGGTTTTCCCATTCGTCTTCTGTCTCCGTCACCCTTCAGCGCGTGTGCGTGTGCATGCGCATGTGTGCTCTCTGCTGAGTGTGTATATATCTATCTCCCTAGATCACAGCCAGATTTTTTTTTTCTGCTGGTGTAAATTACTGTGACTTCTTATACTTCGATGGTGATATGTTGATTTACACCATTTGAAGACTTGGCTCAAAATATGTGCTGAGTGGGATGGCAAGCAGATAGGATGGGAGGAATAGCAATGTTCTATTTTGGTAAGGGGGAAGAAATCTTTGCTGTCTTGGCGCTCCCAATTTCACACATTTTCCTGCTAGTTCTTCCCATGCCATGAGTGCTAATTTGAGGCAGGATGTAGAGCCTGTTCAAGTCAATGGGACTCTCTCCATGGTGCGCTCGGGCTCTGGGGTCAGCATTTTCGGTGCAGAGAAACCATACGGTCAGGGTCAGACCCTGGTCAGCAGCATTGGGACCTGCGGGCTCGCGATGCATTTCCACTTGGGAAGGAGGCTGACAGGCCAGGCACACGGGAGGACCCCGCTTCTCTAACAGCAGTAAGCATCTGCCCTCTGAAAATGGCCCCTTTCTGTTACGCTAGACGGGGTGCGAAGCAATGACTTGCTATGATCAGTTGAGGCTTTTCAGAAACAAGGTTCACTGGGGCAGGTCCTGCCAATGCAGCTGATGCTAGAGCTGGAAGTCAGGTGCCATTTCTGCCCTCATAAACCGGCAGTCTGGAGTGTCCAGGCCCTGATTCAGAGTTACGTACCTTGTTGAATGTGATCTAGTCTGAGGAAATTACTGGGCCCCAAATCTAAAGCAGAATTGAGGTTGCTCTCCTTGGAAGCAGGTGGTTGGGACTAAGGTCGTGTAAGAGATGCTTTCAGCAATGCATGTGGTAGTGATAAAGTTTTTGGGTTCGGTCCTGCTTCTGCTTTCTGTCAAGCTTGACTTTGCAGAAGTCAGCAACAAATTACGCTGGTGTAAATTTGGATTCTGGCCCCTGATGCTCGTATGTGCGAAGTGAGCTAAAAAAGAACAAAACTGGAAATATGTTAAACCAAAAAGAGCAGCAACCCTCGTCAGCGACTGTTAAACATGCTGGTCCATATGCAACCTTTGGCTCATGGAGTCTTCAAACTGCTGATTGTGAGAAGCGAAGAGAGGTTGCCAGGAGAAGACTCCCCCAGGCTTGCTGTCCCCGGGCATCTGCTGGGGCCACCATCAGGAGCTGCCCCCTGGGAACAGAGGGACCTTTGGGCTGACCTGAGGTGCTGCTCCTCGTGCTAAAATAGTTGCACTGGCTCAGATAAACATTTCCTGTCCTCCGGTGTTAGGTTCAGAGGTAAGGTGTTCTGTGTCAGCTTCTGTGTTGACATAAAGCTGGAGGCTTTGCTGTGGTGTGGAAATGTATCCTTTCAGCCTGTGTGTGTGTGTGTGTGTCTGTGTTCCCACAGGTTTACAAGACACACACACACGCATGCCTGGAGAGTGTTTCACAGTAACCACTCTTCTTATAGCCCTCCTGCTGGAAAAAAGGGTATTTGGTGTCTGCTGAGCAAGGAAAAGGATGGGAAATGGGGTCAGACAGGATAAAATAGGATATTAAAAACACATAAACCATGCTGTGTTGCTAAACGGTAGCAGCATGATGTATATTCTCCAGATTAGCATTTCTGCTCAAGTTCACATCAACCCCAAATCCCAATTACCAGCCAGATTTGCAACCAAGGCCCTCTGTGGGGTGGCTGCTCCCTGCCCTGGCGGGAGTGCCGCCGTCCCGGGCTGGACGGTGACGCGCAGGGGCAACCCAGAGCTGGTTGTGGTGCTGTGAAGAGCTGCTGTTCCTCTCTGTGAACACCCTCTGCACGCCCTGGCATGCTGGATCCTGGGAGAAGAGCCGTCTGCAGGCCTAGAGCAGTGGGAGGCTTATGAAATGCTTCTTAACCACTGTTCAAAGCAAGAGGCCAGGATACAGCCTCATCCCTTTTTTTGTCCCGGATCACAGGGATCTGCAGTTGAATTGTTTGATTCTTGCCTCTGACAGAAGGAGATCCGTGCCAGAGATTACATTCTTCTGCTTCGCTCGGAGATAAACTTAGCGGGAGCTCCTGTGCTTAGCACGGCATATGCAGGATAGGAGCCTGCAGAAATGCCCAGCCAACATCTCAGTGCGGATGTGGCTCCTGGCTGAGATCGGAGGATGCTCTAGCCCTGTCCTAAGAGTCTGCGTGCTTGGGAAAGCAGGCAATGCCTGCAGCCTCAGTCTGTGAGCTTTAGTGCTTTATGCTGGGGCAGAGAAAGGGTTGAAAATTACCCTCAGGTTGGGTATTTTCTCTTTTCCCCCTTTTCTTCCCTGCTATGGCTCCACAGCCTGAAACAGAAACACAAGTATCCAATCCTTGTCTAGCCTATTAAAATAATGGGCAAGAGGGGTGGATCTAATGTCCATCTGGTAGTTATTGATTATGGCCATCTGGTAAGGCAGCAGGCTTTTCATATCATGTCGGATCATAAACTCTCCCAAAAAGCTGTCTCTGTGTGGCGGGCTGCATGTGCACCGGAGAGGCAAGGGCGAGGGGCTGGCTGGGACGGTGGCTTGTTGCCCCAGGCAGAGGCGGCATCCTCCCCGCTCGCGCCGCTGCTTGCACACGATGCTTCCCGGTGGAGCTCGGTGCGAGTACGTGTCAGTGTGTTAGCCTGTTTACCCGCGGAGGGGAGGCAAGATCTCACGCGGTGTTCGAGGACATCTGGCCTTTTGCGTTGGAGTGGCTCTAGGTTTGGAGGTGAGCTCGAAGCAGCTGTGTCCTGATAGTCTGAGGTGCCTCGGGGTGCCGTGGGAGGCAGCGGGGCAGCAAGATCCTGAGTCTCCTGCCTGATGGGCGAGTCCATCCACCATGCTGTCCTGCCAGTGGCTCAGCTCTCCCTCCCTGCCCCTGGGTGCTTGCCCTGGCCAGAGTCTGGCCCTGCCCAGAACGCCTCTCCTCAGTTTTCCCTGCTGAGATTATTTCGACCGCTGATCTGGTTATTTCTTTCTGCCCAGAGAGGACGTAACCGTATTTGTGCCCTGTCTCCCTTGCAGACATTTCAGGCCAACGAGGATGCCACGGAGGTGGTTCTCAACAAGATCCACAGCCCGGTGCTCACACGCTTCGTGCGCATCCGTCCCCAGAGCTGGCACAACGGCATCGCCCTGAGGCTGGAGCTCTATGGCTGCCGCATCACTGGTGAGGGTCCCCTCCTCCCCTCGGCCTCAGCCCTCCTCTCTGTCCCTCCGACAGCCTGTCCCAGGGTGCTGTCCCCTGCAGCTGTCATGGCTGTCATTGGGGTGGGAATGGTGACACTGTGAGCAGCCCGGAGGCACCAATCCCAAGGGATGCACTTGGGGGAACAGGCACCCAGACCCCGGGGAGGCAAGGGGGAAACGGCCAGTGCTGGTGCTGATTTGGTGCCCAGAGCTTAAACCTGCAGGGAAAACCACGAGCACTCCCTTCAACCGCCCTGGCTGTTCATGCCCTTTCCTTCCCTGCAGATTCACCCTGCTCCAACTTGCTGGGAATGCTTTCCGGCCTCATCCCTGACTCGCAGATCTCAGCCTCTTCCATCAGAGGCTACGACTGGTCGCCCAGCATGGCCCGCCTGGTGAGCAGCCGCTCAGGCTGGTTTCCCCGCGTCCCCCAAGCCCAGCCTGGGGAGGAGTGGCTGCAGGTAGACCTTGGCGTTCCAAAGAATATCAAAGGCGTCATTATCCAGGGGGCTCGCGGAGGGGACAGCGTGACCACCACTGAGTCCCGCTCCTTCGTGAAGAAGTTTAAGGTGGCCTACAGCATGAATGGAAAGGACTGGGACTTCATCCAGGACCCCAAAACAATGCAAGCCAAGGTAGGTGCTGCCTGGAGCAGCTGCAAAACGAGGTATGTTTCTAGCTATCCTCAGTCTGCCTGATTGGGAAATTAGCTGTCTCTCCCCACAGAGACCTTGGGAGTTTGGGTTGTCACAATGAAATCCCAGGTTGTATCTCCTGGTCCTGCTCCTAAGCTGTACTAGAGGCTATAGGTTCCACCTTGCCCAGGGATGACAATTTCCCTTCATTTCTTACTGTGGACCAGGTCTGGGGATGTGGACATCACCTTCTGGTCCTCCCAGCTCCTGCAGGTCAGAGCCCACAAGACGGTGTGTTCCATTATGTTTTACACAAACTAATTGCATATTTTAAGGGGAAAGGTGTTGCTGTTGCGGCTTGCACCTCTGGAAGAGGAAGATGAATCATAACTTCTCTTTGGGAAATTTGCTATATCTGAAGTCCCTTTTGCCACACTGGTGTGACCCTGAAATTCCCCGTTTTTCTCTCATATCATTGGAGTTCCCCATAATCTTTTTGCTTAGCAGTATGGGAGTGGCAGGGGGCTTGAGGAATAAATGAATTCTCTGCTACTGCCTGTTCTGTTTTTATGCAAACTCACGTGCTTCTGAAAATTTGGCTAAGTTTTAATTTTTTCTGATCCTACAAATGAGTCTTAGAAAGCCTGATGCTATCTATAGCCCTCTGTTTATTCCCCACAGACTTGAGTTCGTGCACGTAAGCTGAAAAGCAGCAGTACTTGGACTGTGAGGAAAACTGAGCATTTACACTATCCTAGAACATGCAGTAGCTTCTCTATTTGCCAAAGGACAAATCTGATCTTACTTATATGTGAAGTTAGTGGATGTTCCCCAGGCTTCCCCTGCATGGCTTGGATCAGAATCTGACCCCTGGATATAAAGCAGAGGCCAAGAGAGATTGTGCAAGTTTCTTAGAAACAGCCTGTCTGGTCCTCTTGAAACTGAGGAGGAACAGCCCGATTTCTGCTCAGCTGGACTTGACGGCCCAGAGTCGGACAGCTAAACTATTTCAAACTGTGGCTGCGTCCTGCCAGACCCAAATTATCAAGTCTGGTGGAGAGCGTATGGGATGCACACGTCACTTTCCTTTTCTCTCTCTCTCTCTCTCTCTGTAGCTTTTTGAAGGCAACATCCACTACGATATCCCTGAAGTTCGGAGGTTTGACCCTGTTCCTGCCCAGTATGTCCGAGTGCACCCAGAGAGGTGGTCCCCAGCGGGAATAGGAATGCGCCTGGAGGTACTGGGCTGCAACTGGACAGGTAGGAGCCCCTGCGCCTCTGCCCACTGGCTCCATCGGGGCTGTGGCAGGCACTAAACCAGCAAGGTGCAAGTGTAAGGTTGTTTCTCTCTCTGCTGTCCCACCTCAGGGACTTCCGCCAGCCATAAAGGCAGGACCTGCAGTGTGGCCTGACTCCATCTTTTTCCTTCCACCTTAAAAAGAACTGGCCTTGATGCAGGATGTTTGGACCCCAATCCAAGCTTTCACACGGAGCCCCATGTGGGATTTGTCCCCAGCTGCCTTCTCCCTCCTTTCAGATCTTTTATCTGGATGTTGTGCAGGCTTTCCCGGTCTCTCTGTTAGATAACATTTGGGCTTTTTAGTCCAAATGGATAAGGCAAAAAGTAGGAAGAGAAGCCGAGGTGCAGAAGAGGGGTGCAGTGACCAGTACAGGTATCTTGAGCTGCCACAATAAGGCTTTGCTGTAAAAACAACTGTGCCTCTTTCATTGAACCCCACGTGGAAATCCTTTTGCAGACAAGGTTGGGGATTTAACTCTATGATGTCTCTACAACATCCCTAAGACCAGGGATGCTCACTTTTGCCCACCTGTTTTTCACAAGCCTTGCAGCCACCATTGTTTTTAAGGCAGAGGTGAAAACTGTCTAACACACTCACTGGGATCAGTAGAGGTTGTGCCTCTCACCCTCTGAGGCTCAACGGTGATTGATTGCTCCATAGTTTCATCCCCAAAAGTCAAAAACGCACCCAACCGCTCATTGGGTCTGATGCTAGTTTTTCAGTGCCAGGGGCTAGTTGTCCCTTTTTATCTATTTTATTTTTTAATAATCTGCTCAAATCTGAATCTGGTGTCCAGATGTCAGTGATAAAGAGGTATGATTTCCATTTTATAAATACATCTGTAGAAGGCATTTTCTTGTAAGAATTCCCATTCTAGGAAGCTTAAAAGACAGAGGTTTTTTCCACCCTTTTGTAGAGTCTTTACTACCCTTTCCTCCTGTGATGTGCTGCGAGACGCATTACAAACACTTAACAGCAAATCACACAACACACGTACACACCATTAATAATGATCATTTGTCACCTTTGAAGTCAATGGCAAATCTCCCCCTGGACTGGGAATCCATTGTAAATGATCTAAACTTTAAATCAAGATTAGATCTCAATTTAAATTTTACAACATCTTTGGGATGTTGTAGGAGAAGCAGGCGCCGTGGTTTTCATGCAAGCAGCGGGAGCTGAGGCTCCATGCAGAAGTGGTCGGGCAGCTCCCACATCGCTGCTTCCTGCAGTTCCCGGGAATTTTCAGCTGCCAGATCTCTGCAGACCGTTGCTGCCTGGTGCAGCACTGCATCACTGCTGCAAAGGGAGGCAGTCGCACAAGACCTCTGGCCATGTACATGTCAGCTCATCCATTGCACTCCTTCAAATTAGAGAATAAGAAGGGTTTGGCATCCTCAACTTCTTGTGCTATTTTTGGGCCAAAGTTTCTGTTACAGCTATGTCCACGCTCAGTTTCAATATCAGCAGCAACAGCCCGTGTTTTTTCCAGGCAGGGTGCTTTATGGTCATTTCCCAGTGTGGCTGTCTAATCATTTGCACATTGTAATGTTTAAAACTCAACTGCCAAGTCATAAATATTCTTAGCTTTATTGATCTACAGGCATTCAGCTTTGTAGCCAGAGCAGGGCTTGTAATCTTGTGGATTCACCGTGTTATAAAAAGCCCTGATGCAACCTGGGGAGCAGAGATAGCCCGTGGCATTATCTGCATGCTAAATCCAGGCTGGCTACATGCAGCAGTCCCTGACAACGCCAAGATACAGCCCTCCTTTGCTGGGAGGACCCAGGCATGTTACAGAACTGGCTGTGAAAACCCACGCAATTGCACTTGCTTGGGAACAAGATGAAGAGGTGGATTAAAACAAGCTGATTGAAAATATTTTCAAGTGAGGGCCTAAGCCCACGTGTACCCTGCCCAGCTGTTGCTATTTCTTATCAGCAACAAGCATCTTAATTACTGAGTCAAACAGGTAACTTAACAGCAACTAGGCTCACAAACTAGCTGGCTAGTAACTCAAAAATTGGGAAGCAGGCAGTCAGCAATTGGCTTCTTTCAAAGACCTGCCAAAATTTTTTGTCTGAAGAGTGGAGATTGATGAATGTTCACTTGCAGCTGGTTTTCTCTCCTTTGAAGTTCCAAACATCTGGTTTCAATTGCTCAGTGACTTTGCATTTTGATCAGCAGTTACCACCAGTTGCACAGACACTTGCTGGGCCAGGGAGAGAGAAAGCAGGAAAGCAAGACCTCTCTTTTTCACTTTCCATTTCACACATCACGTTGTCCTCCCTGCTATTTTCATTATCTCTTGTAACCATCATGTTGCGGCTCTGCCATGGTAACTGATTTTTCAAGATACATTTCTGCGGCTTGTCCAGGGCAATGCAACACCGTTGATTTACATCCGCTCAGCATCTGTGTCCCGTATGGGACTTGGCTTTCAAGGTCCTTCCACATTGTCACATTTCAGCTATAAATCTCAATATACGAGAACAACAACCTAAAAAAATGTACCAGCTCTAAATAACTTGCAGCTTTTGATATGTTGCTTTCACCTGCTGCTTTTTTTTTTTCTTTTCTTTTTTATGACATTCTTCTGTGCCTGGCTGCTTGCAATTTGCTTCTTGGTTGCGTTTGGAGTTTTATGGGGTTGTAACAAATTTGAACTTAAAAATTAAAAGACTTTGAGGTTATTTGGTATTTTATCCTGAACAAAAGACAGCCACTGGGAAAAAAAAAAGTAAAAAAACCCTGAGAGTTTATGTGCAACACGTTTAATAACAGGAAAATAAAAGGGCAGAAAGGAGCCTATGGAAAATATTCAATGTATTTAGCCATTTCCTCCTGCTTCTGGCTTTATTAAATGATATCCTGAAGGGTGCCGACAAAGAAACACAATCACACATAACTGAACAAATCAGCCTCTTTTTAAAAGTAGAAAGAATCAAGCTGCTGTACTCCAGTTAACGCACCCATAAAAGGAGAGACTGCTGGAACCTAATGTCATTTACTGTTGATCTTAATATCCTTCCCTTTCTTGCTTAAATTTCCCCTGACACCTGCTTGGAGGTTGTTTCACACGGGCCATGTTGGAGAGAGGAAAATTGGACAGAGACCCTTTGAAAGCATAGTCAGGAGCCTGGAGCGTGAAACCAGATGCTTTCTGCAGCGAGCCAGAGCGCACTAGGGGATCCTCTGGGTCCATTTGTGGTTACGTCATTTGTGGGTTTGAGTGACTTGTTTTATAAATTGGCACAATTGGTGGGAATGTTGTGTGTGTTTTTTTAACGTGTCATATCCCTTTATGAAAGAAAAAGATATTCTGGCTGTGATCTCTCTTATCCAGTAATGACAGCTAAGCGGATTGCCAACACAAGTGTAGATTAAAAAATTAAGAGAAAAAGTAGCGTGTACATCTAGAGGAGAGCCTTGTCCAATGGGAACTCTAAATCAAAGGAACTTCCATATGGAAACAGGCAGTTCACTTGAAGTTCAAACCATGCTGACATTTGTAGCACGTGGAAATTTCATGGTATTGTTGTTCTATCTCTTCCTGACATTATAAGAACATGAGAAAAAGATTTTTTGCTTTGTTTCCTCCTACCTGGGCTTTTTGTACTGTCTATTGCAAATAGCATCTCTACTCCATTTTCTTCAGATGTAAAGCCCACTGCAGAGACGCTGGTGCCCACTTTGAAGAGCGAAGAGACCACCACCCCATACCCAACTGATGAAGAGGCAACCGAGTGTGGCGATAGCTGTGGAGAAGAGGAGGGTATGTATCAAAGCAGCACATCTTTATCTCAATAAATGATGGGTTAAGAGCTAGGCAAGTACTCTTATCTTCCCATTAGCTCCTATACATGGGGCTGATTCCTGGAAAGTTTAAAGTAATATTATTAGTGATAGGCCAAGATAAAAAAAAAAAAACAAACAAAACCTGCCAAAATCTGATAAGTTGTATCAAGGAAGGATGCAAGAGCAAGAGATAGCAGCTAATTCAGTCCCTAGGGTACGAGACTTGAAGAGCTGCTCTCCCAGCTTCCTTACGTGACCTGAAGAAACTCACTTAGTGCCCTGTTTAGAGCCACCTCCCTTCCAGATCCCCTTGGCTGGGTGTCATAAATTCAGAAGGGAGAGATTCAGACTGCCTGGTATGCAGGGCTCCTTTTGCAGAGGTCACAACTGTGGGAGTAAATCATGACACGTAGAGAAGGCTGATGTCCTGAACACCTATCTGTTAAGGATCCTCTTCCCTAATATCAGCTGCTTAAAATTTAGGAGGACAGTCTAGGCTCCTTGTGGCCCCAGCCGTAGATGGTTGTCAGATGTACAAGGAATGGTTTGGAATCTGTGGCGCTTGCCTGCCTCTTCTGACTATAGAAGAGGCTGAATGTTAGACTACATGCTGTGCTTGTTAAGAGCCAGTGTTGGGGGGGACTAATCTCTCTGCCTCAGATCCCTACCTGTAAAAGCAAACGTCATATTCTTCTGCTCCTTGCAAGGGGGATGTGAGCATCTAAAGCTTGTGAAACGTCCAGATTAAGGGGAGAGGGCATGGCAAAGCTGTGCAAGGTTAGTTGTACAATGCAGTGTGGAGGAGATGCACACCCCTGGGCACGACAGCGGAGCCTGGGCCTCAGCACTGGGACTGGGGCATTTACACAAGTACTTCAATGAGAAATCTCATGAGGAAAAGCTATCCTTTGAGATAGCTCCTGGGACTTCTGTCACTTCAGCTTCCAGTGCCAGAGAAAAAATTAATGGGTTTTAAAATAAATAAATTTTAAAAGGACATTAATTGGCTTTTCCACACCTCCCATCGGGATTCTGCTGTAGTTCAGTTCTGGAAATGCAAGCTGCAGAAGTAGCTCAAAGGGCCTGATTCTCATTGCTTTGCCTCAGTGATAAGCCAGTGCAACCCTGCTATCATTGAGGCACTTGGGAAGCTGCCAAGAGGAAATTTAGGCCAGTAATAGTCTCTGCAACAACACGATTCCTGGGTGCAGTCCAGGGCAAGAGAGCCAGCGGAGTATGCCACGGAGCGTGGAACCAGCCTCCCCGTCAGCTTCCCTCAGATTTAGCAACAATTTTCATTCTCATACTCCATAAACAATGAGTGTGTTTCTCTGGACAATCAGATTTATGACAGCCAAACAGAAACAATGCTGCTCTCCAGGGTATGAGATTAGGTTGGAATAAAAAGATCCATGATCTGCATTGTTTTATTTCTAAGTGGGAGCATGTAAAGAAAGCCCTCTGCCCCTCGCAGCAAAGTTCTCCTGATGCCTATCGCTTGAGTCACTCACCCCCTTCTGACTATTGCTCACTTTGTGAGCACTGTGATTTAAAACTTCCTCTTTGCTCAGGAAAAACCCAGCCTATAATTGGGCTCTGACGTGCGTGTCTGCTGAGTGCTTGGGATGGTCTCAGACCAGGGAGCATGTAAAGAAAGCCCTCTGCCCCTCGCAGCAAAGTTCTCCTGATGCCTATCGCTTGAGTCACTCACCCCCTTCTGACTATTGCTCACTTTGTGAGCACTGTGATTTAAAACTTCCTCTTTGCTCAGGAAAAACCCAGCCTATAATTGGGCTCTGACGTGCGTGTCTGCTGAGTGCTTGGGATGGTCTCAGACCATTTCTGCAGCTTCCATG